ACAAGGTGGAGTGGGTCGTCACAGATGTATAAAACCTCTTAAAGCCCACTGCCCTATTTACAAGTACAGTTAGATTCTCTACAATTCAGTCCTTCAGTTCATTTCACAGAAACCATGTGCACGTAGTATCATATGAATGAGTTGTAATTGATATGTTATTAAATAGCCTAATTTGTATACAAGTAATATCCATACTGCTTTAAATAAACAATTTGATAGTATTTCCCACCTTTGCTGAGTGTTAAGTGTTAAAGAAATGAAAGGCCTGTCCCATATAGATTTCAAATACAGTCAGATTGAGTTCAGTGAAGCAAATGAAAGCCTGGGCTATTCATTTTAAGTTTCACAGTCTGTTTTTCTAATTGCATAAGTGTAAACTGTGCCTAAATGCATTTTTTTTTCCCATCCCCATTTTTCCAACCTGTGCTCAGCCTGAGTGTAAACATGTGTAAACATAGAGTAGATAGATAGATAGTGTTTAGCAGCTAAAGAGCCAGATATTTTTTCTCAGGAGTTGGTGGAGACCAAAAATGATAGTGAATATTGAATTTGATTGAATATTGTTGGACTTCTTTACTTGTATTGTTGTGTATAACTCCATTTTGCAGTTATGGGAAGTGGATTAAAAATGACGGGAATTGTAATAGGGTGTTTTACATTGCACTGTTGTAACTTAAGTGAAGGACACAAGTACTTCTTCCAGCACGTAGGTGTTTTCTCAATAGGCATTCTCAGAATTAGAATGAGAAGACCTACTTCCTCTTATTAGAATGGATTACTGTTAATGAACATTTAGTGTTGCTCAATGTGTCATAATGTATTAGCACATGCAAGGTTAAGAGTTCTGAGCTTTTGAGGATGTGAAGGTTGATTGTGTTTACAATAGGCAGTGTGATCACTAGTGGTTTCAGTATGATGTGATGTGTGGAGGACAGATATAAAAAAGTTACAGACCAGGAGTTTTACCAACAGGACCAGGAGCTACAGAGGAAGGATCCCCTATTCAAATCTTAACAATCCAGACTGCTCCTGCACTCATACTCGTCTGCTACACTGAGAAGGAATAGCTGAAGGAGGTTAGGTTTTCTGTTTTAAATGGCACATTTATTGTGACATATTTAAGAGATATTTTGGTTTGTTTGACATGAACTTTAAGTGGATCAAACTACTTCAAAATCTCTAAACATAGGCTTGATACATCACTGAGTCCTACCACGTCATTAAGTCATTTTTTAATGATTTAATTATCAATTCATCTGTTGATTACTTTCTCGATTAATCAGTTGTTTGATAAATAAGATCACTATTTCCCAAAGCCACAACCCAAAGATATTCAGTCATAGAGGACTCAAAAAGCAGGAAATATCTGCACTCTTTCTCAAAACAATTAATCAATTATCAAAATAGTTGCAGGTCATTCTAATAGTTGACAACTAATCGATTAATCAACTACATGTCATGTCATACATTTCTTTATGTCTTCTGTTCCAGCAGTCAGAATGACGACGCTCTCTACAGCCCTGCTGCTGCTGCTGGTGTCTGGGATTCCAGCTGCAAGTAAGCTTCAGCTTCAGTTTCTAAATATTTCGGAATATTAAAAATCATGGTCAAAAAAAGAAGTTGTAATGACTTTCTTCTCCTGTTTCATCCTCCTTTTCTTGTTTTAAGTGTCATACAAGGCTGAAGCCAAACCCAGTGACCCCTGTGGTCCACCCTGGAAAGGTCACCAGTCTATGACAGTGGATATTGTTTTTCTACTTCCTGATTAATCGTCTGTACTAACTTTGACCTTCTTTTCTTTCAGACTCTGATAAAACTCCCATTAGTGTCCTGGTCACAGACTCTATAACACACACCCCTAACAAGACATACAGCACTTACGTGGTTTACAGAGGAATCTTACTGGGTGGACTGAGGAGACTGCAGGACTCCACCAAAGACTTTATGTAAGATCATCACATCAGCGGTTTCTTTTCTTTAAGCACAATCACCAGCATGATGTAATAACATGCAACTTTTTAATCTAAATAAGTACCTTCTGCTTCACGTTTCACTAGTTGGAACTATACATGCTCATTTTGTGTTTCAAAGTGGCCTTTTGTGAATTTGGGAGTTACTCAAAGCTTCTTTTTGATTGTCAGATGACTAATGTTGCCCAATCACATTACAACAATTTTCTCCAGTTGAGTAATATTGAATCTAAATGTATTCAGGTTGTTTTTTTACAGATTTTTCTTGCCCATAAGGGAGAAAAAAGGGTAATGTTTTCTGGGCTAGGGGGGAAATGAAGGCCAGCAATAATTACTTTCATAAATATAAGCAACCAAATTTTATTTGAACCAAAATAAATGGTAATGATAAATGGACCTCTTTCTAGTCTTCTGACCACTCAAAGCACTTTTATATTACATGACACATTCATTCAGTGATGGCAAAGCCCATCAAACAGAAACTTACTCATTCATACACATTCACACTATGCACAGCATCAAGAGCAATTCGTGGTTTAGTATCTTGCTCAAGGATACGACATGTGGCGTGAGGAGCCGGGGATCGAACCAACAACCTTCCAATTAGTGGACGACCCGCTCTTACTCTGAGCCACAGCCGCCCCAATACTCACTATTACTTATTAACACACAAAAATAAACATTTTATCTGTTGTTGCTTTAGTAAAATGTAGCCTGTTTCATATTTAAACTCCCCTCTTTTACTTTTTAATGTACTGATCTGAACTGAGTACTAGCTAATGTTGGAGGGAATTGCCACACCAGGACATACACATAAATCAGGTTGTCAGAAAAGAAAAGAGAAGAAAAAGAGGGAGCATGTGAGGGCCTTAGACCTAAATAATAATGTACTGACTGACTTTTCTCAGTCAGCTCAGCTAGTTTTTATTAGTTTCAGTGTTCGTTTTTTTTTTTGTTTAGTTTTTTATTATAATAAAGGGCGTATTTGTCAGGGGCAATAGTCAAGAAGTTCAGAATAGATATTACAATACAAACACATTGACTCACAATCATGTAGACATCAGACTCTCAATAAACATACGCAGCAACGCCTCATGCTTGTTGCATTGACAAATTTAACCAAATTAATAAAGACTGTATATTTTTATATTTTTTTTTTATTAGTTTTGTAAGTACACAGAATTGTTGTCCTTTTTTTTTATATTTCCATTTCAGATAACTAAAAGGATTTTTCACACGTAGTTCTTCGTTAATTTTAGTGAAGTATAATAACTTGTTTTAATGTCAATCAATTTGCACATTCGTGGGTCAAGTGCAGATGAACCTGTCACCATTTTAGTCTGAGTCACCACAAAGTCACAAGCGATGCAGATTTAGGCGGAACATGACAGAAAGCACCATAAAGACAAGGAAATGCAGCTAACTGGATAAAGCAGGCTTCCTTTTATGCTCACTGTAAGTTGCATTCAAATAAAATATTTGTTAAGGCCTAAACTGTAACGTTCCTGCAAACATTTCAACGTTGAAAACACGTTAAAAAGTGTCTAAACCTTGAAGAATATAGCCAAACTGAAAACTGAACCAGTGTCAAGTTGCAACTTCAATGTTGTCTCAATGTGCATCTTCAACATTTATGTTGTCTCAACGTGAAGTCTTTTAAGTATTATTTTTGGCCTTTTTCCCTTTATTTGATAGAGATGGCTGGGTA